TAACGCACTTAGAGTAGATAGGCATCTCCCCGTTATAACTACTGCGATGTCGTCCGCATATGCAATTAGTTTCGGAGCTTTACCATCAAATTGTTTAAGAATTTTATTGATTACCAGTAACCAGAGAAGGGGTGAGAGAACGCCTCCCTGCGGGGTTCCTCTACATGTTTCCCTAGCTAGAGTTGTATCGTTCCATTCTGCCCTTATCTGTCTGCAGCTTAAAAGGCTTGCAATCCATTGATATGTGGCTGAGTCTATATCAACATCATCTAAGCTATTTAAAATAGCTTGCGTTGATACATTATTGAAAGCACCCGCAATATCCAGAAAAACTCCTAGAGCGTATTCTTTGTATTCTAAGGCCTTTTCAATATTAGAGACAAGTGTATGGAGAGCAGTCTCCGTGGATCTGCCCTTAGTATAAGCGTGTTGTGCTCTTGACAGAACTTCAGGAGCTAATTGGTCTCCTATATGTGCTGCTAGTATTTTTTCAAAGATTTTGAGAATAAAAGAGGTAAGACTAATTGGCCTATAATCTCTAGAGTAGAGGTGACCATTTTTTCCTGCTTTCGGAATAAAAATGACTCTTGCCACTCGCCAGTTTACGGGTACGTAATTATGCTTCAGGCATCCTCTAAAGATATTTATCAGCCATGTTTTCATTAGGTCCGAAGCCTTTTGTATCATAGCTGGATAAATACCATCAAGTCCAGGAGATTTGTATGAAGCGAATGATTTGATTGCCCATTCCAGCCTCATGTGAGTAACAATATTTTTTCCTGCGGAGCCTACCATATTCCTGACCGGTTCGGTATTGCTCACAATTGCACAGCCAGGAAAGTGAGTATTAGTAAGATCTACAAGTGATTCAGTGTTAGTTTTTGTCCATTCGCCGTTTTCCTTCCTGACAAGGTTAGGCATAGTTGGGTGTTTGGATAGTAGTTTTCTAAGCCTAGCTACCTCCACCGTCTTTTCTATACCTGCGCAAAAATCCTTCCAGGAGTTTCTTTTCGCATTTCGAATGTCTTTTTTGTATTGCTTAAGAATATCTCTGTACTCTTCCCAGATGACTTCACTTTCTGCTAGCTGAGCCAGCTTGAAGATTTCGCGAACGTAGCGTCTTTTTGATCCCAATTCCTTATTCCACCAAGGAGGTTGAGATCTACGTTTAGTACGCATTGGCGGGCACGCGATATGGTACGCTATAGTTAGGGCTCTGGTAAGTTGATCAAGCCTAGCTTCCAGATCCACGTAAGAATCAATTGTCGTAATTTTTTTCAGTCTCTGTTTCAGAATTTTTCGATAAAGGTCCCAATTCGTTTGTTTGGGATTTCTTACAACTTTTCTGCTTTTAAGGTACTGAAAATCTATTTGGAAACTAATATATTTGTGATCTGAAAATGATGGTTCGTTAAGAACCTTCCATTCTATCACCTGTACATTATCTTCCGTGAAGAGTGTTATATCTAGAACGTTTCTGGAGGTCGGTCCAACATAGGTCGGTTCCTCTCCTCTGTTAGCTACACTAAGCCTACTTTGTATTATGTAATTAAAAAGAGACTCACCTCTGTCATTGATGTCAGTGCTTTCCCAAAGCGTATGATGTGCGTTGGCGTCAGTACCGATTATCAGACTTTGCTCTCCTTCGCCAGCTAAATCTACCAGCCTTTGGAGTTCTTCTGATGGTATTTCTTCCTCATGTGGCATGTAGCAAGACGCGAGAAGTATGTTCCTATCGCCGTCAACCGCCACTACCGTTAGATCTTCTGTAGAGAGAGAGTTTACAATATAAGAATTAATACCTTTCTTTACTAGTATAACAGTTCTTACCCTTGTTACCCCATGTGGAATGAATGTGTTATAGTTTCGTGAATTTAACCCAGAGACCAGGTTGCCCGAGGCCAGCCATGGTTCCTGAATTAAAGCCACATCGTAGCCGCCCTCTTCTAGATTAAGGAGGAGCTCAGCTGAGGCAATTTTACTTCGGTGGAGGTTTATTTGTAGAATCTTTAGCATGAGCTTCCGATTCTTCCCCGGGGTTGGTTTCAGCACTCATCACACCCGGTTCCTCTCCTTCGCGAAGATTGAGGGACGAGCTTAGGATTTCTTCAATACCGAGATCCTCCTCGATTTCCTCCGCAGCGAGTGTATTAGAATTCCTATCGGTTGGGTGTCGTTTTTTGAGGCGAAGGTACACGCTCCCTACTCCCCACGACATCTTCCCGTATCGTGAATACAGAATGTCCTCGGCCATTTTGTTGATTAATAGGATGTAGTTTTGTCCCTCGCCTTCTTTAGCTGGCTTGAGGACCTTTAACACCTTCCAATCGCTTGTTGGCACATCCGGATTCTGTCGTTGTAAGAGACGAAGAGCATCCTCTGGCTTCACCACTCGAGGTATAATAACCTTCGCTTTGGGCAAAGACGGTATATCTTTCCTGTCCACAACCTCCAAAGATGCCCCTTCCCATAGGCCTTGGAGCGTTTTAGCTGCCTCCCTTAACCAGTTCAGGGTAGAGTCGTCTTTACACTTCAGTAATTTCACTCCGTTGAACCAGCCGGCCCCGTCGAATGATGGCATTGGAGCTTCTGGTTCCGCGCTCATTTTGGCGAACATAGCATCTAATAGCTTCATTTCCACTATTTTCCACCTAGTTTCTACCATTTGACCCTGTGGATCACTGCGGTCGATAAGTGCCACAATCAAGCGTCGCTTGGCCACTATCTCCGCCATTGTTAGTTTAGATGTAGACGCTTCCTGTTCTTTTGGATCACTGGCTTTCGTCTTTTTTGTTGTTGTTGCTGCTTTAAATGTGGACGCTTCCGGCCTTTTAGTAGTATCGGCTTTCGTCCTTTTTGTAGCAGTTTTATGTTGAGGGACAGCCTCATCTTTACGCTTTTGCCTCTTTCCAGAAGGACCTTCGCTTTCCGTTGAGCGCTGCCTTTTACATGCCATATCTTCCTCGATTCGATTTGCAAATTTGGAATCCGAGGGTTCACACCACCTTTTACCTGCGAAAAAGGCTCGACCTTTCTCTATCTCCTCTTTCGCCCAGACTAGCCTGTCTTTCTCTTCCTTCGACAGATCATTCCGGTCTCCGAGGCGAGCACAGAGTTTTATCGCGGCCTTATATCTGGATTTGGCTTTCAACCCCTCCTTATTTGGTTCAGCCCTAGGCCTACGAATGGCCTTAGCAGCTTCCCCCGGAGAACGAAGAAGAGCTTCCTCCTCAATTGTGTTGACGCTAGCAACGCTCTCGTGATCCGAGTCTACAGGGACTATGGCATCACTGCGTTGCATTGATTTTTGTTTTTGTTTTTTGGAATTGCGCCTTTGTGACCCAAGTCTACAGGAACTTTGGCATCACTGCGCTGTTGTTTGGCAGTAGTAGTACAACTACTGGAACCTGCTCCGATCCCAGCAGAGGTGCAGTCACTGGCGACGCGGCTTATAAAATCACCGCGCCCGCCGGTGGTAGCAACTGCGCCTCCCACCGACGTTTGGGCTGATATCCCAGCCCGATTTTCTTCATTCTTCAACTCCATTTGGTTTTTTATGGAAAAACCTACCATTTTGCATTTTTTGTCTACTGCCAGACACCTCAAAGTTATGACTAGGGAAGGGGCTCACCTGCACTGACCCTGTTGATACCACGACCACTACACATGAGACTCTTCCTTCATCTTAGCTAGACACATCACAGTCCTTGAAAAGCCGCATCATGTTCCTCAGCTACAACATCCGAGAGCTTCATGACCCGAATTGCCAAAAAATGGATGATGCCCATTGCCCGGTCAGCACCCACGGGGAGGGTTTACAACGAGGATTTTCGCCGACCTAGGAGACAACTAAGAAGACGAATTATTTCTTTGGGGCTCTATGTTACCTATTGGAATTGCCTCTTCTATCTTTCCTACCCTCTCTATTATTATGTTATTGGTGGTGGGAGAAGATAAGATATTTGAAATTATGTTGTTTGCTACAATTGAATTGTGACAATCTATTTTTTTTCAATGAAACATGTATGTTATTCTTATCACCATCCACTAGTTTAAGTGATTTCTTGCTAACACTAATTGCTAAATTTTGGTCAGGCATTTCTTCCCGGATTAAATTTTTCGTGCAAAGCATTTTTGCAGAAAAGTGCCTATCACAAGCATAAAATATCCGGTTTATAGAGTCAGTAACTCCTAACAGAGCCTTCCACTCGTTTCTATAATAAAAATCATAAAACGACCATTACTTAAAATTTGTATGAAAACATGCAATACAGTTTGGAGAACTATTAAGGAACATTTAATACAAAGATAACTTACTTACTGATGATGTCAAGTGGCATTAAGTGGAGCATTAGATCTAATGCCATAGATGATGTTGGTCACAGAGCACCACTAATACAGAGTTCAGCCAAAACAATATAATAACAACACTCAACCAAAGTATAATTAGAAATATTAATTTCACTTCAGGATTTTCCCTTTTTATAATTATTAGTATATCATGGAAAAAATAATTTTCTAATAACTTTCAAAGTACTAAATTATAAATAAAAGCACAACTTAATTCGTAGTTTATTATATACACTAATTAGGCACACATCTAAGTTTCTAATGTGTTGATACATTTATATATCATATTTACTTTATTCTACAACAATAAATTGTGTTATTTTTAATTAATAATATACCTTCGATAATCCTTTGGAAAAATATAGAGATGTTTGAAATTTAAACATCCAAGTACGCACTTTCGTTTCATCTATAAATAAATTTTAATTAACTAATAATTCGTATATTTTTCTGGAATAATTACCTTTTTTTAATGCTTTTATAATTGAAAACAAATTCCACCTTATTTTACTTTAACTAATCTTGTATTTGTGAACGGATTTTTAATGTCAAAAAACCAAAACAAATAACGAAATTTTCCCTGAAACTTCTCTTACTTTAGCAAATATCGTGGTGAGTAGGGACCGGGTGGGCAAAGTAACAGGGTCCGGTCCATTCTAAATTTTTTTCTTTCTCACCACGACAATTTTTGTCTTTGATATAATTTTGGTTAACAATTTGTATGGATAAAAGCCTTCCTGTCAAATAATGAACTTCTCTCGCTGGTGGATTTGTGTTATTTCCAAGAGAAGAACGCAATAATGCAAAGAAATTTTCATTACAATCCTGATTGATGAGACCTAATGGAATATTATTTATTTCGGCATTTTGAAATGATTCATCAATTAGGTCAAGCATTGCTGATATCGTCCATTTTAGAAAAGTGATACAATTTACATTGGTATTTAATAAAATAGTGAGACCGTCAAGATAATTTCAAAATGAAATAATTTTTTTCTTTTGTTGCAATAACGAGAAACAGGTATTTTATCAAGAATGTCAAATCCGTCATTGATTTTTTTAATAAGTGTTTTGCTCCCTGAAGCTACAGTGTTTCTAAAATTTCTATGGTCAAGCTTACTTTCATGCATATTCAAAATTTTTGGTTGAATATGTTTGCTAGTTAACTTGGGAGCCAGCCGGAGTATAGATGATGCGCTATCGAGATCATACAATTCCCTAATTACTTTCCAAGTTGCCACCATACCCCTAGGAGTTTGAATATCGTGTGCTAACAAAGTGTTTCTTATATTTTTAAAGAAATAACAATAATTATAAAATATATATATATTACGGTTATTATAATTAAAATAATTATCATCTTTTTGTTTCAATTGTTTGAAGCAATTTGTGTTGTTTGTACCTTGATCAGCAATGATACCCGTTACATTTAATCCAGCATTCGTAATAGCCTCTATGTTATGCAGAACTAATTTACGCACACGTTGTCCTGAAAAAATTAACTGTTATGATATATTTTATTATTTTAATATACATTATAGAATGCACTGTCAATAGAATCCTTTGAAATGTAAAAGCTGAAAGTGTGTTTCCAGAAGTAATACAGCCTTTTTACCATAAATAAAAAAAATTTAGACGCAATCTCTTTACTCCTGTTACCTGTACCAAAATCTTCAAACAAAATTTGTTCCCAAAAAGATTGAGGCTTGTGAACAAATAATTTGGCAAACGCTAAACGCTTAATCTTATTTTTTGGCGAAATAAAAAATATTGGACGGGCTACATAAGTGGCGGAGTTAGCCTGTTTCAACCGTATTTCAATAGTTTTATGGCTTATTGACATATTTGGTAGTAAATTGTTTGCCGCGGAACTTTATATAATTGGCTAAGACTATGTACCGAAATACCTGCGCTGTACTTTATTACCATTTCGTTACGCTGGATTTGGGTTAGTTCACGTGTTTTACCTATATTTTAAGTAAGAAAAAGGGAAAAATGAATGAAATTAAAAAAAATTGAATTCAGATGAGATTAGCCGACTTTACAAATTACAAAATATCTGTGTTTATCACTCGTGGCACAAATAAGAACCAAAACAATGCAATGTTAAAATACTTTTGTCCAGACAAAAATGCATAGTCTCTCACATACATAATATGTCATAGCAAATAAAAGGATTAGCTTATCAGTGCGATATTTTGTTCTCTTATAGCTATAAATAGCAGTTTTCTATTGAAAGTTTAATAAATACCGTTACTTCTACGAGTAAAGAGAGACACACAATTGTACATTGCTTCGCGCTTTGTTAAAACACTTATGTCCACCATTATATATTAGAATGGTAAAAAGTGGTATTTCTGGTTTCAAAGTTATTAATAAATTAATGACCACATCTTTTTGGACTGCAATAATTAATTGAAATATATTTATACTTCTACTTGCTTAAAAAGAATTTGTTTATTAGTTATTGCATTTCATTAAATTGCTTTAGTTCTAGTAAATCTTTACCTCCATTGACTGTAAGATTTCAAATCCCTTAAATATATAAATAAAAATTCGCAAATATGCTTTTGATAGATAAGTAAAATTATTGAATAAAATTAATAAAGAATGGTGAGATATATAGTAGGATATGGGATATTAAAATCAAATAACTAGAAAGCGATCTCGGATATTAAGTCCAAAGTTTAACCTCCTGAACAAATATATTTTTGTTTCCCAAACGAAATTCGAGAATTCGACAATATGACAATACCAACCATGAGAACTACTCACATGCGAGAAAAGAATTGTAGTTTCATTAAAGATCGATGTAATTTTCTCAAACTCATAAATACACAGCAAAACATTTGAAAAAAAAATATTTTTTGCTTTCAAGTAAAAATGAAAAAAATAAATATATAAAGACTTCAATCTGAATCATAAATTATAGTATGCGCAGATATTATTACATAAAAATATATATGTGTATGTATATGTAAAAAATAAAACTAATCCATATCTTTTAATAATTAACATAAATTTAATATAAAAAGAACGATTATTTGTAATCCATAAAGATGATTTTTAAATTGTAACAGAATGTATATCTTTTAATAAAACTGTATTTATCTAATAATAAAAATTTTTTAAATTTACAAATATACATTTTTGGTTTAGTATACGTAGTAGAAAACATGGTATGTATATTCAGAATTTCAGACTTAATTTTTCAGGAGGTAATAAAGTATGTTATGTATCAGGGATCAGAGATGTGTAAGGATATTAGCTGCAGTGCGGCCTTCAAACCAAGATTTTCTAAATCTTTTAAGCTTCATGTAATGTATGTCAAGTATGGGTCCGAGATAGTGCATTAGTAGTGCTAACAAAACCATTTGATCTTCGTAAAGTTAAGGCATCCTAATGTTCTGCTGATATTTGTTGTATACATAATACGTACTTATCGAAGCGTATGCAGCTGATTATAATTGAATTGATTTGATCCCAAAGACTAATCTTTACTGTGCATTACAAAGCACCTAAAACCAATTATTTGGTTTATCGTAACAAGGAAACATAAGAAGAGATATCTTGTTTGAAGTTATCAATTAAGGCAAAGACAAAAGAACTCAGCGTTCCCGGCCCCAATACAATCATCTGAGATAATACACCACCGTAAAAAAAAGTGTCGAACTCAAAGACAACTGACAGTTAGTAATGGACTAGATCCAGATTCTGAACTTTTTGATCTAGTGGTTCGGAACTAGTAGCAGATATTTGTGGATTATAAAGTAAGAATTGTTTCTATAAAAAAAGGTAAGTTGTTATATCGCATTTCAATATTGTTCCCACTTTGATCCTTCATCGATAAAACTGTTACTGCTGTAAGTCCGAAAATTTATCAATTCCTTACAAACCAGGCACAGATATCCTGTTATCTATAGTGAACGTAAAGAGATTGCTCTAACCAGAGATTGTACGTAACCAGTGGATAACAACAAATATAGACGAACAAGGTGAGTGTCTCTTTAATTATATCTTATCTTAATTATATCAATTTTAATAATACAATTTGTTGACGAAATTTTCAAAAATAATACGCAAGTCGTATAAGCTAAAGTTAAGAATAAAAAGAAGAAATGTATCCTCTTTCATACATGTTAAAAAGAAAGCCAACTCTAACTTTGAAGGAAATTATGGTAAGCATATTATTCTTTATATTGAATTTATATATAATAAAGACAAGAAAATGTAAAATAATTAATATTGTGCTGGTGGGGTACTCTTCTTTTGATATGTATTATTTATATGAATTATAAGGTGTTAGTTATGAGCTACTGGATTTCGTGATTTCCTAATCAGTCACTATACTTTCTGTAGTACTTTGTTATTCTTTGTTGTTCAATTGAGAAATTTAAATCTTGTCTTATGATTTCATTACTAATCTAGTAATAATACTCAGAGATTTACACTAAAATCATTCTACTATGTATGTGTGTTTGGTTTAGCCGCTGAGCCCCAAATCAACTTGATTACCCAGCAGCACCTGCGACTAGTTCTGAACTAGTGAATTCACTAGTCCCCAGATATATAGTTCTAGTCACTTCATAGTCCACTTTATGTGCGCTCATCTTGTGAATTTTACATTGATTTGTCATTGCCAATTGTCCCCGTACGATACACATTAAAACTAGTCTTTTCACTACTTCGTTAGGGGTAGAATGGTGTCAATTGTCCCCGTACCATACACCGCGACATTAGTCTTTTTATTAATTCTTAATTTTGAAAAAAATAAATAAAACATGCATTTTACATATTATACTAGCTGACCTGTTACACTTCGTGCGCGTAACAGTCAATGAATGTTATATTAAACTAGGTAAACTAAATTTAGAAATTTATTAGACAGAATAGTCACTTTACATATAGTAAGTAAAACAATATGCATTATAAATGTCTCTATAAAAAGAGTAGCTTTGAAAAATAAAAAAATATGCGAACTCAAAAGTTAACTTTCAACGAATTGAACTTGTGTTTCCAAATAAAGCTGTAGTTTATAAGCTCGTTCTAATTTAAAGCACGGCAAGTTCTTTGTTTAGTATCACTAATTAAAATAAAAATAAGCGACAACAAAACCTGGAACTTGAGCATTGAAAGTTTGTGCAGTTTTGGCTACTTGTGGATAAAGACGATTAGTCATCGCTTCTAATTTGACAGGCACGAGTTCTAAGCCTGACACTTGCACTCCAAACAAATTATATACGGATTATTTTCTAAGACCACTGATGAAGAGTACTTATCAATACTCGAAACAGCGTTGTATGGTCAGCCAAATTTCAATAAAATTAAACAAAAAATTTTTGTGTTCGTCATTTCTTTCTTTCTTTGCTATTCGAACCCTCGAAACCCTCGTTTTGAACTTGCATTTTCGAATGAGTTCCATTAAAGTGTGCAAGGGGAATTCCCCCTTTCTTTTTTTTTGAAAGAAAATGTGAACAATGACACTTGTCAACTAACTAATTTATACAAGACCTACAAAATGACCAGAAAGGGGAATTCGGCTCTTGGTGCATACAATATTTTGAACGTTTTTGGTTCTAATTTCTGGAGATTTCGAATTTGTGAGCTTCTACTGTAATAACAAATTATATTTGAAATAATAGAAAATGATGTTTTATCAGCAACGACAAGATTATAAAATCAAATCAAGCAATTACATAAAAAGAAAATAACGAAAAAAAAAGTATAACAAGAGGAGAAGTAGAAGAGAGTGAATGTGAAAAAAAGTACAAATTTAATTTTATCAATTATATTATTAATTATTTATTTTCTTTTTCTTTAGTTTAACATTATCGACAAGTTACCTTACAACCGCACAAATGACGTCATTTATGATGCTGTTGATGTAGATAAAAGTTTTTAAGAAATAAAACATATTTGTAACAAAGCAAGAAAATTTATATATGAACCGCTTTTTCTTATACTCTTCTTTAATGCACAAAGCCAGGGCTCTGAGAAGACTTTCAAGGGTCCGTGGTATATTATTACGAATGACATCCTCAGAGACCGCAAGAGTGATGCGATCAAAAAATATATAAAGGATAGAACCCTGAAACTATTAACGAAAACTGAAAGGCTTACCAACACCACACTATCGCATCTCAGAATGATTACAGACTCCTCGGGGAGGTATGCAGATCTAATGTCAGTTATTGCATAGTCTAATGAAGTGATAAACAATAATCTAGTCAAGGTGTAGAGAGAGGTTATGAAGAAACTTCGCAGTTGAGAGTAAAAGTGCTCAAGTGCACTGACTCAACTAGCCTAAACATAATAATAATGCTTTCATGTACATTTAAACATTATTCATATCATTCAATAAAATTCAATATTATTCAATTTGCTTACATTTAATTCTTATTTAAATTGTAAATTGTGAATTTATTTTTAATTACATTGTATATATACAGTACGTTCTCGGTTATTGCAACCTAATGAAAATTTTGCAACTAAATCTGTTGCAAATACCGAGTTATTGTACATAACCGCGGAAAAACTCACGTAATTGATCTAACAACACAATTAAGTAACTACAGAATGAAACTCGGAATTTGTTTTACTTTTATACTATAACATTGTACAAATTATATACATGTAATTCCCCCTACAACGCGGTAGATTGGTTCCACGTTATAGGAAAACGCGTTATAGGGGTATTCCCGCATACCCCATATATACACACTTGGAAAGGTATGCGAAGCTAATTATGAACTGTACAAATCCTCGCGGGGGATTGAAATCGCATAATATGAGAACGCATTATAAGGGTACCGCGTTATAGGGGGGATTACTGTATCTTACAAACTTCGGACTTATATACCTTTTATATATTCATTCATGTTAACTTGTAATAAATAATTATATTTATATAACTTTGAAAATGTCTGTAGTTAATAATATAGTTCCACTTTCCATTATTAGAGATGACTTTGATTTCTCTTTTAGCCAGGTTAAGACATGAATCACCTCAACAATGCCAATTAGCGATTGGTGGAGCACTTATGCTCAATTAATTTCACCACATATATATCATTGATGTTTTTAAATTTTTGTCATTTAATTAGTCAATTTATTTAAATTCCAAAACTGAAAAATGCATATTATTGAACGTTAAGTAACGGTTTTAGCTTGAGAAGCAGTGCTTTTTCAAAGAGTTTAGAAAGGCATAGCAGTTAGCATATTAGCCAGTATGAAGAGGTAAGCGTGGGAGCTTTTCCTGATTTATGAATCTTAATAATCGTGAATGTTTTCCACTCTGTTGGATGAAAGCCAAATTTAATCATGGCATTAAAAAGCCATTATGTTATCATATCCCGGTGCCTTTTTGCAATCTAACATGCTGGTTATTATTTAAACAAGATCGTTGGGCGTAATTTTTATGTCAATAGATGGTGCATGTAGATGCTGAGTGGGAAAGTCATAATGTCCTGTTGCAGGGTCAGCAAAAACGTTAGATTTTCCGATTATTTGTTAGCATTCCACAAGGATGAATTATATTGCCTGAGTTTGGTTTCCTTGCTAAATGGAGATCTAAGTCTCTTTTGGACTTCCTTGAGTAAGTCTTTCGGTGTAGGGGACCTAGATTTTTGCTATCCACGCCATAACCTACGTTTTTGTGAAACTAAGTTTTCTCTGTCACTATTTGTAAGTATTTTATTGTATGTGTAAATCTTATTGCCTTTAGGGGTGTAGTTTTCTGCTTCTGAAATCAGAATTCTGGTTGGCGTTGTAGTCTCCTGCTGCAAAAAATCTGTCACCTAGAGTTAAGAAGTAATCCATAAATTGGGTCTCAGTAATGTTGAAGCGAGAGGGGCAGTAAACTGCCGACAAAGTTAAATTTTTTTCTTTTATGCTTAAAGCATGTTGATGTGGCTTGCATATAATTGTGAGTATATGT